AAAGCCGGATCTGTCGCCCTTTTACGGTAGAGAAAGACCCAACTTGATTACAAAGGACCCACGCTCTCCTGCAAAATACAATTTAGGTAGAGAGAAAGACATTTCCTCCCCTCGTATATAAGAGAGAGAGAGAGAGAGGCCCATTTCATTACAAAGGTCCAACTCTCCTGCAAAATCAATTTAGGAGGGGGAGAGCATTTTCTCCCCGGTATATAAAACCCATTCCAAACTCCCCTTCTTTTGCCATTTTCTTTCATCAAAAACTAATGGCTTCCATGAGATTCTCTCTCATCTTTGGTTTCTCTCTCTACAGCTGCCTATTCGCAGCTGAGGCCGAGTCAAACACAAGCTCCTATGCAGCTCTGTTCAGCTTTGGTGATTCGCTTGCCGATACGGGGAACATGCTCTCTCTACAGGGCCAGTCCTCTCCCATTGGCCGCCTTCCTTATGGAGAGACCTTCTTTCACAGGCCTACCGGTCGCTTCTCTGATGGCCGCTTGGTCGTTGATTTCTTTGGTACTTTCTCCTTTCTAATTTCTCTCCATTTCCATTTTTCCAACCGAATTGTATTGTATTGTATTGTTTTGTTTCGACATAGGGCTGAATCTCATGTCTCGGATGGGTCATGTCCCTTGCATTGCATTGCAGGCACTTTTTCACTCTAATTTCTTTTGTAGCTTTATGCAATTTCCTCATGTAGTTTTTTGATCGGATTGAAAAAAAAAATCACAGCCCAAGCGTTGGGTCTGCCTCTCCTTCCAGCGTATCTTTCTACATTGGACGGTGGAGATGACTTCTCTAAAGGAGTGAATTTCGCGGTGGGGGGTGCCACGGCCCTTGATTCCTCTTCTCAATCAGTCACCAACATCTCTCTCAATGCTCAGCTTCAGTGGTTCCACCAACTCCTTCCTTCTATTTGTAAACCATATTCCGGTAACTCTCTCTCTCTCTCTCTATTACCCAGAAAAATACACTCTCTAACTAGGGGCACTTAATCCACAATTAGTTACTCTTGAAAGAACATTCCCTCTCCCTAACCAGGGGCACTTGATCCACAATTACTTACTCTTAATAGAACATTCATCAAACCATCTGGAAGGATAAATGTTTAAGACACAAGTTAAATATGAAATTCAATTTAGAAGTTGTCAAACAGAAGGATAGATATGCCATAAATAAAAATTAGTTGGAATTATAATATTTGTATATTTGAAATATTGAGAAAAAAGGCTTGTAGGCTTTCGTACAAAACGGTTAGAATTGATACTAGCCGTTTGATGCCAAATTGGATGGTTTGGATTGAACTACAAAGTTCAATATTTTTTTCTTTTGAGTTTTGAGTCCAGTATATAACACGTTCATAAATCACCCCATTGAAATCTGACTGGCAAAAATAATTGTGAATTTTTTGTACTAAGAATAAATCATCTGTTTGTATACTTTCCTCAAAATTATTTACCGAGGATGGCAAAATTTTAATTTTCAAAATTAAGTTAATTTTTGTGAAGGAGAGATAAATATGTAACTGTTAGAATTCGTTATATGTTTCATATTTTATTAGCATAAATTGCCGAGTAAAAGAAATGGTCATCTTTAGGAATATTTACGAGAATATGAAATGTTTGTTAAAAGAAAAGAATGAAAAGATATAGAGCTTTGCTGTTAATATTTGTTTATTATTGGGGGGAGGGCTTGTCCAAGAAGAAGTGTTTTCTTTTCCCCGTTGAATGCGGAGAATTTTGTGATTGGACGCATTCTAGGTTTAAGAGAAGACAACTTCAAAGGGCTTCATTGGAAAATTATATAAATTATAAGTGGGCATTGCTTTCACCGACAAATCATTTTTCCATGAAACTAATCCTGACAAATCATTTCTTACATTCATAATCGAGATGATTAAATTTGAAGGATATTCAACATCAAAACAATATTTTTCAATGGATTTTTGAGGTACATTTTTAATTTTACATCTTAAAATTGCAACTTTATACAAATTTTTTTAATTTTAAATTTTAAATTTTTTATAGATATGCTCGAACTACTTCGGTTTTGGAAATAGAAAGGACTTGGTGCCTAGCCTTTTTTTTAAAAAAAAATTGTTTCTAAATTTTGTATAAAGTGCCTAGCTTTTTTTTACATTGAAACAAATTTTTTTTTTAAAAAAAAAGCTAGGCACTTTATACAAAATTTACCTTTTATATAATTTTGGGAAGTCATTATCTAGGGGATTAAAGGAGACAAAACATCCCATTTATTTACTTTTTAATATTCGCATCACTCAAGTACCTTTTTATAAAAAATGCTTAAATATCTTGGGAACTTTGGATTAAATAGGGGCATTTTAATAATTTGATCAGTGTGAGAGACTCCAACCAAATGAGAAGAATAGCCGTGTTTTTTCAGGGTGTTTTAAATTTGTGAAATGCTTTTACTTTTCGAAACGGTTTATGGAAGGTAGATACAAATCACAAATCCAATTGATCATCACCACCTCAAGATGCATGGATGTGGAGAAAAAAAAAAAATTTTCATGTCCTAAAACATAGTGCTAACAAGTTATCTAGACTGTCTACATTCGAGATTTTCAAGTATTTATAAATATATTTCATCTGTACTATTTTTTAAAGTTTAAATTTAATAATTAAAGATGAAAATAGATTGTCAAGCCATCAAAAGATTTTTATACCGAAACTACATCTACAGATAAAATTTAGAGGTACCTCTTACTTCTAAAGTATAATGAGGGCCCCTTATATAATGAAAATATTTTGTGAGATTTGCAACCTTATTAAAATAAGTAAATCCTCACCTCGAAACTCACCGAAAATTATAGTTTGAACTTCGGAAAACCTTCAAATCAATCATTCCGGCCCTGACCATGTAGTCAAAAAAAAAAAATCAAACCTAAAAATAGTGCATATTGTAACACATTATCTAAACCGCTTATTTTGCCCTAAAAATAAGTGTTCACATATCCACAATATTTATACTATTTTTGAACTTCAAATTTCAAAGACACTATTGGAAATTGATTTTAGAGCCACGATAGATATTTCTGATACCTAAAGTACTTTCCAAAAGAGGATTCAAAGTAAGCCATTACTTTGTTTTCATAAAACCTAGGCTGCATCCTTTATATAAACCCCACCCTTAATTTTTAGGAAAAAGTATACAATGAGACCATTTATCTTTGGTACACGGTAGTCACCAAGCTTTTAAAAAACATATCAGTAACTTGAATCGGTCACACCCATACTTGTGTCGGATTGGAGAATTGGTGGATCGAATCGGAGAATTGGCGGAATCGGCAATTTTTGTCCCAAATTTTTTTAACAAAATCACTAGAAATCTCTAAAAAAAAGTGTTCTTTTAGTTTCTAAAAGAAATTAGGAGTGATGCATTATGTACTTTCGTTACTTTGAAAAAATAAGTGAATATTGAAACACTATTTTCCTATCTGGATGTATAATTAATAAATAAAATACAAGATTTGGTTATCAATATTTAATTATTAATTATAATAAACATGATTCAAGAATTTCTATATAACAACTTATACAATTCAAATATATATATCAATTTTTTATTGTTGTATAAAATAAGTCATTGTAATAATAACATAATAACAATAAATTATTTATTAGTATTTATAAAAGTTAAAATATATTATTTAAAAATGCACTCTAGACCTAATATGAAAATAACATAATCTATATAACAATAATAATTCGTTAAATAAAAAGCAATTTAATATATTAAATTATGTGACATTTTAATATATTTATAATAATAAAAATTTCAATATAGCAATAACAATTTTAACATAATTATATTAAATAAGTTAAGAATTTTTATATAATTATATTCATTCAACATAATAATATTAAATTAATTTTAATGTGAAAATATTCATATATTTAAAGTTTTATAGCAGATTATTCGAGAGAGACACTAGAATATTTAGGTGGGGGTGGTCGTGGGTGGAGGCACGAGGGGGTGAAGAGAGAGAGACAATTAGTTGGTCAGGGGTGGAGGCGTGTGGGAGGTGGAGAGAGATATTAGTTGGTTGTGGGTGGAGGCGTGAGGGGGACGAAGAGAGAGATATTAGTTGCTCAAAAAGAGATATATATTATAGTGATTTGAAATAGGAGGAATGAGACTTGTCCCACATCAAAAACCACAAAAAGTTCAAAGTCTATAAAAATTCATAACCGGCTACAATGTTGCATTTATGAGGTGTTAGATGATTTGCGTGTTGTTAGGGATATGGCCCCACATGAACCAATTGTAGGGAGAGCCCTTGTTGTTATAAAAAATTGCAAAAGTGTTCCTTCGTGGTTGATAAAGTTCAAAAGAATTTTTGAATTTTTTTCGAATTTTTGTGACACATCCAACCTATCAGATTTCGCATTTCATAGTATACGGTAAATGACTTTTCTTAAACAACATTTGTGGCACATCCAGTATATCAGATTTCACATTTCACATTATACGGTAAATGAGAACTCAAAAGAATTTTTTTCAAACTTTGTGACACATCCAACCTATAAATTTCACCTTATGCATTAAACGATCTCATTTTATACCATCCCTTATTTCCGTAGAGTTCTCTTAATGATGAACATGAGCAATTGAGGTATTAAAATAGAGTTATGCTGAAAAAGACCAATTGAGGTATTACAATACTTTGTGAAACGAAGAAAGTATAATAAGACCAATTGAGGTATTACAATACTTTGTGAAACGAAGAAAGTATAATGTCAATTGAGAAATTTAGATCCCTTTAATGATTGTAAATGGCTTTCACCCCGTAAAGCGTATTTTCCATGCTCTTTAATGTAAGAAAAGCTCTATAAAGAGAATAAAAAATAAAAAGTCAAGGCCTGAAATAATGATGGAGGAATATGTGGATATTTGCCACGTGCATCGTTTTGGTGCTCAGTGCTGACCGTTGAATCTTATAAGTGAGCGATGATGGTAAGCGTCCATTATCCCGTTCTTAAGTTTGCTCAAAGGACTAACTACTTATAAATATACCAAAAAAAAAAGAAAACTACTTATAAATGGAGCACTTTTATTTACTCAATGGGAGAGGATAATATCAGCATCCAAAGATAAATATAAAAAATAATGATTAATATACAAACATAAAGTGATAGAAACATTTTTTTCTTTATATTATATAACTGAAAAATAAAAAAAAACTAAAAAGATAGTCTTGAAAGAGAAATATATATATATATATATGTTTTTTAATGTTTTCAATATTTTTGAATGATTCCTTTAAACATCAATATCATTAATAGTGAATCATTTTCACCCCTCTCATTCTCTCTCTATCAATTCTTAAAACATCAAGGCAAACACATTACTTGTACCTAGAATTTGGACTTGAGCTTGAGTGGTTAGCATCTCAAATTCAATTCCCACTGTTGACTTACCCCGCAAAAAAAATAGAACACATCACTTTCGCCTATCTCTCTCATTTTTTATTTTATTTTTCCTTTTTTATAGAATTATAGAATTGCAAATTGCAGCGACTCTCTCTCCCTAATTTTGTTTCTAATTGCAGATTGCAAAGAGTTTATGAAAAAATCGATGTTTCTGGTGGGAGAGATTGGAGGTAACGATTGCAACTTTGCCTTTTTCCAAGGGAAGAGCACAGAGGAGGTCAAGGCTTTTGTGCCATCCATCATTAACACGATCATGAAAGCTGCTTCGGTAACAACCATGTATTCTTTTTTCGTAATGCTTTATGCAAAAAAAGTATATAAGATTGTATACAAAAAAATCATTTATCTTTTGTACATAGAGGTCATAATTATTTCTACTCATTAGATATTAAATTGGGTGGCTTGGGGTGAGCCACAAAGTTTGAGATATTTTATTTTTTTTGAACTTTGTGTCTATTCAATGACGCTCTTACAACCACACATTTTAAAATTTAAGAGACAATAATGATTGTGACCTCCATATACAAAAGATACATAGTATCTTTATAGACAATCATAAAATATATTACACAAACAATACTAAATTGGCCATGCAATTAAATGTCTGATTTATTTCATTAAGATTCAAAAAAGAAAAATATAATACATAATCGGATTGGTAATTTCAAGATGAAATCTGTGGGTGCACATTATTTGTAAAGGGGAACTAGTATTCAAGGGGTCGAAAATCCTGGTAGTCAAAACCTCACAATTAATATTAAAAGGTCTATTTTTTAATTTTTATTTTATTCACTATCTCCACAAAAATATTTTCAAAAATACTTATACTACATTTGTTTAGGGTTGGAAACACTAAACAAGCATGGGCATTTCAGGAATTTGATATATCTTTGTAGACACCCCATCTTGAAAACTGACAAATTCAATTTTTTTCTAAATCATAGACAACCTTAAGACCACACTATCTCAGTAAACCCCCATACCATAGATTACCATAGTATATATTGTCTGCCATGTGATTAAAAATCCTACATAACTCCCTATTTTAGTAAAGAAATATTAAAAATAGCAAAGCATCTCATTTTGACCCAAATTTTGGCAGGCATCACAAGAGCCCGTAGATTCCTCCAGAACTAGAATCTACCGATTCTGGGTAGATTTGGTTTGGACGACACGACCAGTGTCACCTGGGAGACACCAATACTGTCGCAAACCCAGATTGACCAAAATCGGTTGATTTTTTGTAGGCAGCATCTCGACAACTCCAAAATCAGCTCAGACAAGAATCTGCCAATTTTTGGCAGATTTGGTCTAGGAGACACCACTGGTGTCGCCTAGTCTAGACTAACCCAAATCGGTTGATTTTTTATAGGCAGCATCCCAACAACCCAATAATCACCGCAAACTAGAATCTGCTAATTTTGAGTAGATTTGATTTGGGTGACAAATTGGCAGTTTTTGCATGTCAACCCCTCCCGAATCATTTTTTGTTAGATTCATTAAACCTAGACCATTTTGGTCTGGGCGATACTAGTAGTATTGCTCAATCCTTGAACCACAAAAATGGCAGTTCAGGCTGAAAAATCTTCTAGTTATTACCCATTTCATACGATTTTCAGCTTATAAAAAGGTCATTTCGGGATCAATTTAGGTTAGACTCTTTAGACTTTATTAGCTTGTGTGCTGAGACAAATTTTGAGATTGTGAGACCTAAGAAAAACCTAGATCTAGGAAAATCTTACTTTTAGGCCATCTACAGACCTTTGATTAAGAAATCCATCCAACCAAGCCATGACCTGGTCAAAACGTGAAGATAAACAAAGAGGACGCATAACATAAACTTGATGCCTTGATACGAGCGAGACCTCGATGCCTCGGGAGCCGCCGCCCAACTGGCCTAGTTTGGTACATTTTTACTCTTTCATATATTTTTGTTTCTTTTATTAGATTTAAATTAGTTGTAATGCATTTTACATAGTATTTCGCATTTCGGATTGATGCTGACTTTGCCACTGATCTAATAGTAGATCTACTTATTTCTGAGTAGATCTGACCTCAAATCAGGATTTGATTGTCCCACTCTCTGCCACTCGCTTTTAAATTCAGTTTGTAGTTCGGATCTAGTCAATTCCCATCCTAAGATCGTCTCGACCCCCATCATAAACAACCTTGTACAAATAATGGTATTTCTGTCATTTGGTTAGGGCTCTTAGGTGTGACAAATTATTAGAAGGCCTCCTCTTTTATATAAGCTATCATCTGGGTCCTTGCATAAAAGGGAAATCTTTACATATAGCGTCACCTACCTATATAAAATATATGTGACGACTATTTTTATTAGTTGATCGAAATAGATGACTGAGATAACTTCAGCTATAATGTCACACTTAAATAAACTTTTATTTTTAATTTTTGGGCAAATTATCAAAAAACCAACAAGAAATTAACTGCTTTAAATTTTACCCATTTGGAATTATTCCAACTCAAGTCAATATTTTTTTATAGGTATTTTTTAAAATTAAAGCAAAAGATATAAGTAAAGTATTAAATTATTCATCTCTTATATGTAACTTAATAAATTTTCCTTAATTTTTATCTAAATCATCTTAACATAAACTTATTTTTATTGGGTATGGCCCTATCAGAAGCAGGCACAGCCACTTCTTATGTTAAAAGACAAAAAATTAGAATAAAATACTCTAAACCATTGAATCAATTTTAGATACCCAAAAGTAAATAGTGATAGTATAACTAAAATTATCTCAGCCATTCATTCAAATCCAACGGTCTAGAATAGCAATTACATATGTAGCTTATAGCACAAGTGAAGGTTTCCCCCTGCTGCTCCTCTATGCATTAGTTTGAGTGTATAATGTTATATGAAATTTTTGGAGGTACTCCTTTTAACAAAGTAATTAGTAGAGGTTCTTGCACTGTACATCTTAAAGCGTGACTGCTTGTAACTTTTTTTCTTTTTGACCAAGTAAAATAAAAAATAAAAAGTAACAAAAAACAGTTCTAGGCAAATAATTTATCAAAATTAACTTCATCATCTGTACATCTGATATCTTCATCATCTGTTCTCAATTTAACTTAATTCGTTCAACTTAAACACAGGAATTCATTAACGAAGGTGTTGAGACTCTTGTTATACCGGGTAATCTTCCGATCGGGTGCAGCACTGCTTATCTAACCATGTTCCAAACACAAGACAAACAAGAATATGACCCTGATACAGGATGTTTGAAACGATTCAATGATTTTGCAATTTATTATAACTCAAAGCTCCAAGATGCCATACAAGTGATGAGACAGAAGTTTCCCCATGCCACTACCATCTATGCAGATTATTACAACGCTGCACTGCGCTTCTTCAAATCCCCAGAAGCATTTGGTAAGTTTTAGTCGTAATGCTCAAAACATTTTCAGTTAGTTACCATCTTAGGACTTCCTCTAATTGATTTTATTTTAGGGGGTAAAATCCAATAATATTTGTGAAGTATTGAGATAAATGTCAACCAAATAACATATTTCAAATACCAAACCTAATGGAGAAGTTTCTGAAAGTCCAAATCCAATTGAAAACACACACAGAAAAATCACTCATATCCCTAACCCAATAGAATAGGGGATTCTACATAAATACTGAAGTTGATTAGAAAACTAGGGATCCCTCTCATAACATCAAATTCACACAAACAATAAGATGGATACACAAAATTTTGCTTAAGTTGAACCAATGTTTTAAAACCCGAAATCAGGTTCTGAATCATCCAGTTGCTACAATGATCCAGATAAGCCGAATTAGTAATTCGGCTGAACAATGAAGGAAAAGATGAAACAAAGGATAGAAAAAACAGTAGGATAGGGCAATAGATCAAGGTTTATACAACATAATTCATCAAAAAATATAGTTTTCCATTCAAACATATTTCGTAAATTACAAATTGGTAGGTTAGGACCGATCGCTTTTCCTAGAGGGAATCAGACCGCTGACCCCCTTAATCCAATTTTGTTCAATGATTTTCCAAACCCTGAGTTCAACCATAGTTGAACCAAATAAAGTCATTTTTCATTCATAATTTCATTTTTAAAAAAAAATAGAAAACTTGTTTTTTAGTGGGTCAGTTATGGGATTTTATCATAGAGACGGCGCATCACAGTTTTCAGCACCATGACCAACCAAGGCCCTGCCCAATTCCTCCAGTATCTTAGATACAGCTTTGGAATGACCTTCACGACATGAGAGAATTACACAATCTCACATTTTTCATCATTTTTGAGATATTAATCGGTGACAATAATCGCAGGGTTGGCTAAGGAGACAGTTCACTCAGCCTGTTGTGGAGTTGGAGATCGGTACAACTTCAATTTTAATCGTATGTGTGGTACATCTGGGGTGACAGCATGCTCTGACCCAGCCTCGTATATAAGTTGGGACGGGATGCATCTCACTGAAACCGCTTACAAGTTCATCACCGCATCTTTACTAAGCGGAGAATTCACAGATCCTCCCCTGAGGTTGTCTGACCACCCTTGCCCTGAGCCTGATTTCCATATACATGGATGCCTAAGTTCTATTTGAATAACCATGAAAGAAAATACTTACAACTTAGAAGCCTGTTAGAATTATCTGAAGGGAGAGTGTAGCACACTCCTGTTGTAGTAAATGGTGCACTTGCTCCCTTGAGCAGAATACTCAAAAGCATTAATTTGAAGATTTGTACACAATGAGACAATTTATCTTTGATACAAATAAGTCACAAATTAGTTATAACCCTCCGATGTGAAATCTGATGGCTTAGACGTGTCACAAAGTTCGAGAAAATTTCTTTTGAACTTTGAGTTTGGTCAATAGAATAAATACAGCCACCCAATTTCACATCCAATGGCCAAGATTAATTGTGACCACATTGTACCAGTGGTAGGTGATCTCCTTGTATACTTTTCCATACAGTTCTGATCAGCTAAATAATGGTAAGTATTCAATCATGGGGTACATTTTCTAGGCCTTAATCATGGGGTACATTTTCTAGGCCCTTTTAAATTCTGTTCTAAATTAGCTGAGGATGACTATTTTACATCGGGAAATTTGGGGTTAAAGAAATACTCCAAGATAAATAAGTGTGCATTTTGCTCACACAGTTGTGCAAAATCATGTATTTATAGTCCTCATGACTATAAAAGATGCATAACGATGGATGTCATTACCATTCACTTTATGGTTGAATCATGATGTTTAGAGTTGGACCTCCTGGAACATAACATGACCGTCTCCCAGTCTCTCCACCATATAATAATATACATGGACTACGACACCCCTGTTGACTATGGACTTTTCATAGTCATGAGGATTATAAGATATATATGTTTGTCAAAATGCACTTAAGAAATTAACTATTTAACATTTTTGCCATATGTTATAATATAATTTTCAAAATGCACATCAAAGACTTTGAGTTGGAATAGTAGAAAAAGATAAAAATGTTAAATAGCTGAAAAGCGGTGTATTTTGACTAATTTACTGTATATATACTAGATATAACTTTTTTTATGCGTGTACGTTGTATGATTTTATTTTTTGTATGGATTGTAATTGTAGGATTGGAAACTTGGATGTTGCATTGCCGCCCCTGACCATGCCGAATCCAACAAGCCAAGGTCCTGAAGCTATGCATGTAACTGTATGTGTTTATGTATTTCTAATCACAAGTTTGTTCTTTTGTTTGAATGAATTAAACCAAGGTTTTACTTTTTACCTTGATATAATGTAAGGCTTGCCCAAACCTCACTAGGTGTTTAGATTTTTTGAAGACCACATTTATCCATCCTCTTTCTTTTACATCAGTACAATGAAATTCAAATTCACATGAGGCCATGTTTCTGAAGTCAAAACACAAAAACTTATCTTTTTTTAGTTAGTTACTTTAATGGCTCCTTGCAATGATACATTTACCCATAAGTCCAGTGCATATATACATAACATGTAAACTATTCTCCTGACCTGGTTGGAATGAAAAGAATAAATGTGATCCATACAACTATGAAAGCAGCATGGTCATATGCATTATCATGGCCTCATCTAGGGATTGGATTTAATGGAGTGTGACAATTGAATTAATTGGCCGGACCCACTTGCCCTCGATCACCGTTCAAGCCATTATTGGTCGCATAATGAAAACGCTTAAAAAAAGTGTTATCATTAGTGAATGTCCTCATGAAGAAAATTAAGAAAAGCTCAAAGAATGGTGTTTTGAAGAGACTAAACATGGTGCATTATCGAAGGTTGTTTTTTATTGCATGTTACATTCATGGCTTGATGTGCCCAACTATCAGTTTTAAAAAACATTGCCAATTTAGTGCTCTTAGACCATCCTGGTAAAATGACCCTAAAACACACATATAAAAACGAATTAAGGGGTAGGTGAACTTTTTTTTTAAAAGTTAACCACGGATTTCATTGCCTCAAAGCGAAATACAAGGAAAAGCTACAGGAAAAGAGAGATCACTAATGATGATTAATTGGCTTCCCTTTAGCTAACACATCAGCCTCTTTATAACAATGCACAAGATCAAAAGAAAAAAAAAGCAAAAGAAAATGAATTTCATCAAACAGGCCACTAACAATGCACAAGAAAGAAGAAAGAAGCAAAAGAAAATGAATTTCATCGAACGGACTCCTAAATCTCGAATGCAGCTTCAACTCTAGTCTTATCCATGCAATAACATTGGAGGAATACCCTTCAATCATCTGATGGCCATCCACTCCATTAGGATTTTTAGACATTCCAAAAATCCTCAGTGAACTTGTACAATGTTGGCTTATAGGTTAATCTAAGCATTTTCACATAAAAGCATGTGTATGCTCGGGCCTGCGATGACCCTGGCCTGGTCCTAGCCTGGCCCTCTGGCCACATCTTGTGGCCCGGGCCCTTGTTGTTTAGGATCGAACTGACTAGGCCAGGCCAAGTCGTCCGGCCCATTGCCACCCCTACTACCAGGCAACTTAGGACTAGAGGCATTTGAGTTAACTTCAACCGAGTCCCTAAGGCACACTATTCAATTGATCGATGCACCCAAAGGGTTTATATACAAAGTGGGCAATTGAAGTGGTTCCTGCACCCTAATGAAGGTTGAAATGAGTCCTTCTCCATAATGAATCTAGACATCCAATGGGTAGACTCTGGGTAATTGTCTGTGATCTAGGCCTTCAATAACTAAAAGTATATTTTTATTTTTTGAACTTGTTCATATGATGAATCATAAGGTACAATGAATTTACGAAAATTCCAAGGCACATTGCGGTTAGGAAAATCCTGACGCACAATGAATTCTTTCATTTAATTAATAAACAAAAAAATACAAAAATGAAAACCGGAGTTATAAACAAAAAAATCTCCAATTTTTCTTGCAAGCAAATTTACGCATCTTCATTTAACTTATTTGCTAGTGGTCACCAACTTAACAATAAATTCAGACACTTGAAGCCTAATACATTTCCTCATTAGTAATTACTTGAATGTAAAATACAGTTTTTCACCCTTTCACTTCCCAAAATACAGTTTTTCACCCTTTCACTTTCGGGTAAGCTTTTTATGTTTCCCCTTCAATATAGAAGTTATATCCTCCCCTACCATCCAGCCATCCATTTTTTATCAAGGAAGTCACTCAACATTTGATCTTAGATGCGACGTCTTAAAGTATTTTATTTTTATTTTAATACAAATTTTCTGAATATGAAATTTGGTACGTGTCAACTTTTCATTGGGACGTACCTATAAAAAATATTAACAATAATTTTTTGATAAAAAATAATGACTAAAATACCCCTTGAAACGTTCAGGGGTATTTTGGTCGTTTTATTTTATCAAAAATATTGTTTTTATATTTTTCATTAGTGCGAGTTTAATAGAAAAATGGATGTCCAAAATTTGGTGTCAAAATAGTTTTATAGATACATTGTATTAGATAGGCAGCTAACGTAAAACGTTGCCAAAACTTATCATTATCATGTTAAGTATTGTATTTCTTCTATTTTTTTTTAAATTTCAGTCAAAATGGCATTTTTAAATCCCTTTTGAGCGAATTCTTTATATTGATCTTCTCCTGGCCCTATCATATGAGCAAAAATTTGGGATCAAAGCCATTTTAGTGCTAGATTTATGATCAACAAACTGTCATTTCAAAGCTCAAACCCCCCAATCCGCCTTTTCCATCGATATCCCCTCCAAACGTTTTGCTGGAATTTGTTTCAAATGATTATTTTAGATCCCTCCAATAAATAAATCTCAGAATTTATTGGATAAAACCGTTCTTCAAAGATATCTAGATTTTAGATTTCGCGCATTAGTTCCAATTGTCCTACATTGTTTATATTGATCTACAAAAGCCCTAACGAATCAAAACCAAAATCTTGAAAATCGATTTTTTTGATAATTTGGGCTACTTTTTCATCATTTTTACCCTTTTGTTTTTTTAGGCCATTTCAATTTGGGAAAAGTTTATATAGAGCCGAGGCCGTAAACAATCAAATGAGAGCCTACCTCAAATAGTTCACTAGAAGAGGTTGTTTTGATGCTCAAATATCCTCAAATTGATCATCTCAACATCAAGATGCATGGACATGAAAAAAAATTGGATTTTAAGTAGTAAAACTAGTGTATTTTGTAATGCATTTTTGGACTGTCAATTTTGAAAATTTCCAAGTTTTCATAGATTTGTCGATCTACACTATTTTTTAAGCTTTAAACTTTATAAATAAAGATGAAAACATATTTTAAGGCTATTACAAAGATTTTCAGTATTGAAACCACTTTTCTCGACACTTTTTGAAGGTAGGCTATAATTTGATTGTTTAGAGCCTAGGCTCTATACAAACCGCACCTTACTTCTTATACTCTTAAGTCAAGGAAAAAGTTTATATCGAGCTGGGGCTCTAAACAATCAAATTAAAGCCCGCCTCAAAAATTTCATTAGAAGAGATTGTTTTGATTCCCAAATATCATCAAATTGATCATCTCGACATCAAGATGCATGGACATGAGAAAAAAATAGATTTCAAGTTTTGGAAATGGTGCATCTTGTAACACATTTTTGGACCGTCAATTTTTAAGATTTTCATATTTTCATAGATCTGTTCGATTTAAACTTTTTTTGAAGCTTTAAATTTTATAATTAAAAATGAAATATATTTTTAGGCTATCACAAAGATTTTCAGTATTGAAACCATATTTCTCGACACTATTGGAATGTAGGTTTTATTTTGATTGTTTAGAGCCTAGATTCTATACAAACCGCACCCTTAAGTCAATGATGTAGTTTGCATTGCAACCTTAAACCATCAAAGTATAGCACACCTCCAAATTTTATCATAAGATGTAATTTTGATGTCAAAAATTCTTAGGATGAACTGGGAATCCATTTTCTCTCCAATTATAAAATTTTGAACTCCAAAAATAGTTCAAATCAAATAGATCTATAAACACATAAAAATCTTGAAAATAGACCGTCCAAATAATATATTACAAGATGCACAATTTTTGGGATTCGAGTTTTTTTATATATTTTTTTATTTCCATACCTTTCAATGTCGAGATGATGGATTAGAGGGTTTTCCAACATGAAAACATCCTTCCCCATGGATATCTAAGGTACATCTTAAGGCTGCAATTTAAAGTTGCAACCTTGTATATAACTTTTCCCTAAAATCAACGTTTTAATATGGAACATCTATATAATTTTCCATATTTTATAGCTTTTTTTCTTTTTTTTCTTTTTAAATATTGGCCGAGCTGGCAGGGCCGGTATGGGTCAAAAAATTGGACCCAACAAGACAAGTCCAGGTCCAAATCTTTGTCTCTAATACTATTTGGGTCCGGGTCTGGATCTAAATAAGGTAATATTTTTTGAGTCCCAATATATGAAATATATTTACATGTAGTTAAATACATAGATATTTTAATTTTTGAGTCGGGTCCAATCAGGTCCGTTTCTAGTACAAGTTTGATTCCCACAATATATTTTCGGATCTGATCAGGTTTGGGTCCCATATCATTTTTCTGGTCGGGGTCCGGCTAGACCCGACCCGACACATTGCAACCCCTAAAGCCAAGTTGGGCCCGGAGCGGACTTCCTAAAACACAGCATGTTAGTCCCTAAACATGAAACTCAATGGTGAAGTTTGCTTACGTACAGTGAAATCTCTGAACTCCACACCACACTCTCCATATGCAAGTTGTAAAAATGGGGAGTTTAGAAAGCCTTCGGCGGGCAAGGTCCCTTGAGGCCTAGGAGACCTCAAGAATGAGGAACCCCAGTTCAATAAATATATATTATCTTTTAAGAAAGTTCGGGAATACTATCTATTATTATATTATAATATAACAATCCTTTTTATTTTGGGAAAAGTTTATATAGAGCTGAGGCTCTAAATAATCAAAATTGAACCTACCTCAAAAATTTATTTAGAAGAGACTGTTTTGATGCCCAAAATATCTTCAAATTGATTATCTCAACATCAAGATGCATGGACATGAGAAAAAAATGGATTTCAAGTTTTGGAAATAGCGTATTTTGTAATGCATTTTTGGACCATCAATTTTAAAAATTTTCAAGTTTTTCGAGTTTTCATAGATCTATTGATCTACATTATTTTTGAAGCTTTAAACTTTATAAATAAAAATAAAATTATATTTTAAGGCTGTCACAAATATTTTAAGTATGGAAACTACATTTCTCAATACTATTTGAAAATATGCTCTAATTTTGATAATTCAGAGCCTAAGCTCTATACAAACCGCACCTTTTTATTTTTGGAATGAAAAAATGAGAGCAGGTGTCAACTTTAAACAATTAAAAGTAAAGTGCACCT